GTGCCATAAACCTGGTTTAGTTTAGGTGGTGTTTAGTCCTTGACTCTTTGGGTCCAACCTGCGTATGTATTTTTGTTCCCAAGTTCACCTTTTACAGGTGTTAGGTACATTTCCCTTGAGTACAAGGATAGTGAGGTCACAGAGGAAGTGATCGTTCCTAATGGTGTGTATGTCTCTGTACTTTGTATTTTTTCTGTGAGAGTTCATTCTGTTGCATGGTTGCTGTTTAGTTTCCCCCATGTAGTTAGATCAGAACTGATCAGAAGACACAGCAAACTACAGCCTATACTGAACAAAGATCAGACCTTGAGAGAAATATCCCCAGCCCCTTTGCTCCTGGCTTTCAAACAGCCCCCTAACCTTGTCCAACTCATCATCAGAAGCAAATTCTCCACTGCCCAACAGACATCAAGTGGGACACAGCTTGGCCTTGGCAAGAAGTGCTTATTCTGTCAGCGCATCTCCTGTGCCACTACCATCAATGGCCCCACAACAAAACAATCAGAATTCATGGGTCCTGCACATGGCTTTCCCCAAATGTGATATACCTGATCCAATGGACTAAGAGACCTCATGGCATCTGTGTGGGTGAAACTAAACAACAACTTCACACCAGAATGAACTCTCACAGGAAAAAAATACAAAAAAATGGAGACATACATGCGCCGCTGGAGCCTGCATCTCACAGAACAACCACTGACCTCACTATCTTCTTGCTCAAGGGAAATCTATCTAACACCTCTAAAAGGTGAACTTGGGAATAAAGATAAAGCATGTAGCTGTGATTGTCTAAAAATACAAGCAGTCAGTGTGCTAGAGGTGATATCTTTTATTAGACCAACTAGACAGTTGCAAAAAACATTTTTCTTTATTTGCAAGCTTTCGGGCACACATGCCCTTCCTCAGGCATAGGAGAATGCAAAGATTGCACTGAACTCAGGAACAAAAATTCCTAAGCTGCCTGGACACTAAGAAACAAAGGCTAAACATTGATATTGGCTTTATGGCACATTATATTTTACCCAACTCCTGAATTCTTTCCTCCCTTTTGATAGCCGTGATCTTCCAGTAATCAGCTTTCTTTCTCCTGCTAATTGTGTCTGCTGCTCTTTAGATTTTCTCTTACCCCCTCCCTTCTGCTGTGTTTCACTGTGCTGTGGCTGGCTGCTTGTGATCAGAAACTCAAAATAGAAAGTTCTGCATTCGAAAGCTTGTCTAACTTTCTCCCAACTATTTAGTTGGTCCAGTAGAAGTTATCACCCTAAGAAAGCCTTGCCTTTCACATAGTTTCTGGACCATCACAGCTACAATATCACTCTTACACAACAGTAAAAGTAAATAGATGGGGCTAGATCCTGACAGGCCCTGAGCGTCTTGAATAACCTTTGTTTGGAGATTCCTTTCTAAAAAGGTGCTGATCCCCCTAGATTTCCCACCAACGTGATTTCCCATTCTACAAAGTGCCCTCAAGTCCCACCAAGGTCAAAGGGAACTGCCAGATGCTCAATCCCTCCAAGGACTTAGCCCATTATTGGGAAAGTTTATGGGCTAGTGGAGTTGCTGCTAGCATGTTTGGCAATAATTTATCCCATTGTTCTGACTTGGCATCTCCAAGTCAAAGGAAAAGGGGGAAAGGACAAATCACACATTGGAAGAAATAGGAGTTGGAAAGTCCAGATGTGATGGGGCCAGGGCCAGTGGATGCCAGCAGGTAAGGATATCCAGACCTTTGAAAGGAAAAGGCTGTGACTGAAGAGATTGGACTTATCATCCCAGGAGGGGCACCACAGACCTGCGTCACAGCTCTGCATGCGTTGCCTTGTAAACAGGAAGCAGCATAGCCCTGTCCATACAGTACTCTGGGCAGTCTGGTTAGCACCACTGAGTGATGGTGCCATTTAGCCTGTTTGCAGTACCATACTGCTGTATCATTTCTGGTTTGGGAGGTAGCAAGTGCAGAGCAGCAAGGACACTGCTGCATCCAACCAGACAGTGCTGGAGCCTGCCAGGGGGAAGTGAAAATAGATTCATTATCCACCTTGACTTTTTTCCCTCACAGCTGCTCTGCACACTTTCTTCAAGGCCATCTGAGGGGGTTGTTTTCTCAAAGTAGAGCACCTAACCAGTGCCAGAAATGGGAGAATTCATTGTTTTCCTGTGAACTTAGTGGTGGTGGGAGATGCTCCCTTGACATCACTAATGTTCAAGTCCCTGTTACACAGAGAACATGGGCCTATCAACCAGAAAAGCTACCTTCCAGCACAGGTTACCTCCTCCTACCCCATCCAGATGGCAGGATAGTTTTGTCTTTGAGATCCGTGAAATCTTGGCCCTTCTCCTAAGCCTTCCTGCAGGGTTGCCAAATTTTTGCCATTATTTGTAGTGGTTTTTTTTGTCATGGACACCAGAAACTGGGCTAATACCTGCCAAAATAATTTCACATAAGCCATCAAATAACTAGCTTATCTTTTGTGCCCACTCATTGGGTCCACATAGGCTTGATTCTTGAGCACCTCTGTTGCATATATAGTAGTCTTGCTCTGCTATGTAATGGTTTAAATCTCTAGGTTTTGCACACACCCTACTCTGCAATTCCTGGGTCTATCCCACACATCGATAACATCAAAGATTGCCCTTATTGTCCAGTGTCATGCCCAGTCTGGATCCTTTGCTGTATAGTAATTGGATCTTTACTTCCTGGGAGAAAATTGTTCACCTCTTAGTGCCTATTTAAACCTTTCTCCTTTCAGACAGCCTTCTCTTGGTTCTTCATGCCACTGGAGCTTACTTGTATGTTTGTACCTGAGCATTTGGGAGGTTTTTTTTATAGCTGAGCCAATTTCTAGTTTATGCAGTGCTGTTATGACACCCATATCACAAGATCCAGCACACCAAAAGATAATGGGTCTTGTGCTTAGATTTCTTTTCTTTCCCAGCTAGACAAAGCCTTATCTGGGATGATGTAGTTGGGGCTGGTCCTGCTTTGAGCAGGGGTTGGACTAGATGTGACCTCCTCCTAAGGTCCCTTCCAACCCTAATTTTCTATGAGTCTATGATTCTTTGTATCCAAGATTATCTTTGTCCCCCAGATTTTCTTCCATTTCTGCCATAGCTTATCATATTTGCCAGTCTTTTCTTACATTTTCAGTTGAACATTTTTGTCAAAATAGAAAAGGGAAGCCCAGAATGAACCTGGCGATGACTATGACAATGATGATTGGTAGTGTTAGTACCATGAAAAATGTCATTTGGTAGGGTTGTGATAGACCTATTTAATTTTCTGTAATGCTTGTAATTAAAGTGTCAAAACCCCAGTTTTCAGGAAGAAAACAAAATCTGTGTTAGATCAAAAAAAAAAAATCAGTAAAAAACATTGTGAAAAACTGATTAGCTTGGGTGCTGAAGTCACCAATATTTTGCAGGAGCTTTTTTCCTTTATTTTTTTTTAAAGACCATTGTTCCAATGAAATCCCTGTTGTAAAATGCTTAGCAACTACAAGTATTACTGTTGTTCCTAAAATTCTGAGAAGCTCCAGTAATATATATTAATGATATAACATTGTGCAACTGGTTAAATGAAAAAAAGATCAGCCCTCACCCAGAAATGTTTGCAGTGAGAGACAACAGGTGGCTAACAACAAACAGATGCAGGGGAGGGCAAGGAAACCATGAGACAATTAAGCTCAGTCTGCTAAGCAGCGGTCAGAGCCATAGTGATAGAAAACTTATGAATCTATCATGCTCCCATTAATTACTGACAGGCTGATCAAAAACCAGTGGTGTCCTGACGTCTCCCCTTCAGGCCTGTGCACAGATTCTTACAAGCTTGTCATCCAAAGTAACGTTGGTATTGTCAACGGGACAACTTTAAGGGCTTTCGCTGGGTGTAGAAAGGACTACAAACACATGCTGTTAATTCCCAGGATTTGTTCTGAATCTTAAGTGCCACATTACAAGCTCTGATCTTGTAGAAAAAGAGGAAGGGAAGGCATGACGATGTCTCATTAAGAGCCACTTGTTCTGCTGTTCCCGTCTGTTGTTGGGGTTCCTGTCTTTCAAGTTCCCGCTTCATCCACATGCCTCCTGGTAACAGATGGCTGCTCGCATCTGCTGACGTTTCCTTCTGAACATTCCTGACAGGTCCAACATGATGATCACCAGCATCCCTGAGGATACTGGGCAAATGCCCAAGAAAACTCTGTGTAAGAGGCAGGCTAGAAGCCAAGTTCATGCATGTATCCAAACAGCAGGCTGTGGTAATGGTGCAACACACTCCTGAATTAAACATCCCTGGATGAGAGACACTGGAGACTCGCTAAGCAGCACCACTCAGAAATTTCCTGACCAACATTTTGCCGCTGGAAAAAGCTGATTCATCAAAATCAGACATGTCGATTTCTATCGGGGTTTTGTTTTTTAAAAAAGATCAAACTGTTTTGAGCAGACGGATGTCCCCCTTGTCCAAATGAATTCTTCTTTTCCTAGTGGGTTTAAACTGATAAGCTAGAGAACAGAAAAGTCAATTCCAAAATGAAGCGTTTCCATTTCATCACAGCAAAGTATTTGGATTCACCCCAAACAATTTTGTTTTTCAAGCATGTCACTTATGAAGAAGAATGGCTGAATTCATTCTGGAGCAAAGTGATCCTTTTCATGCCCCACTGCTACCCCTGGGGACCAGATCTTGTGCCATTGCCATCAATCGTTGGCAATCTTTGGTGCAAGCAGCAAGGCGGTTTTATGGACTTGTTGGCATTCGTCCATTTTATACCCAGCATTCACTGTTCCCACTATGGAGACTGTGCCTGGAAATGAGGTCTTTGCCATTCCTGGCACTGTGGATGGAAGCATGTAAAGTCATTAGGCTGTGAGAGTATTAGGATTACAGGCAACACAGGGCTCAATGTAGGTGATGGACAGCAGAAAGCCCTCGGCTGAAGGGAGGGGAGTAACCTTTCTCTGCATGCTTATGCCTATGTCCTATTGTTTCCTTTCTACAGGTGGACCCTTACCTGCCCTATGAATACACCTGTGAGGGAATGCTGGAGCGGATTCACGCTTACATTCAGCACCAGGTCAGTGACCCGTGCCCCATCCCTCCAGGGTGTACACACCTGCTTGAGCCTTGATTCCCACTCAATTACTCCCTTGGCAGGCAGTTACCTGGTGGTAGGGGGGTAGTCTCTGCTGTTGTTTTCTTGGTTCTGATGGTGGATTTAGTGTTCATGAAATATGAGGGTCATATGCTCTGCCTAGAGTCTGATACTGTCACAATGAGAGCTGTAAAAGTGAGAGTTCCTTGAGCGTCTCAGATAGTCGCCCAGGCCTACAGCTCCTTCTGCTGTTGCTGTATTGAGTCATTTCTGACCAGGGCTTGGGCTGCAAAGTGCTGCTCCTATTTCAAAGTACGTTAGCAGACCCAGGGATAGGGGCAGGGAGCATGCACAACAGTTGCATAAGCCATTCCTGGCAGGGGGGCAAGGTAGGGAGTTGATCGGGGATGAGGGACACCTTCTACAGAGTTCTGATACGAAGCATGGGGACTTAGGGGCCACCCGTCTGTGGGACCCTGGGTTAACTCCAGAGCCCAAACAGAGCTGTGTGCATCTGAAAGAAACCTGGGGGATGAGTTAAACACCTCACCAAATATTCCTCTTTGCTGTATGTGGCTTCTGCACCCCTGTCTTGGGAATCTATTGGCAGGGAGCTGCTTGGGAACCCAGCAGTGCCAGAAGAGAAGCATTCCCTGTGCCAGGAAACTCAGCAGCATGGAGAGAGCCCTTTGATCTCCCTGCTGCAAGAGAGGGCCACAGCTCCACCAGGTCAGGACTAGAGTCATTAAGAGTGTCTGAGTCATAGATACTCACAGCTTGTGGAGTCCCTTAGGCATCATCTTCGGGCTGGTGGAGTGGGCCTGAATGATTTATCACTGAGCTGCAGGCAGCTGCCTGTAGACCCGGCTTCAGTGTAAAAAAAGGTGTTTCTGGAAGCTCTTCCCGCAGGGGTTAACCCTTCCCCACCCCACCATACTCGCTGACCCAGGCTTTTCTCTCCTGCCAGGATTTCTGTGCTGGAGCTGCCGCTTCTCTATCAGCAAAGCCTGGCAGCCATGCTATGCAAAGCTCTCTGAGCCCCTTCACCCTGTTGCCCAATGCCAGCCACCTGATGTGGGCACACAATGCCAGCAGCAGCCCCCAGGCCTGGCCTCCCGTGCACTCCATGCAGGTGTGGGTGTCTGAGGTGCGGAGGGCCTGCACCGAGACCTGTCAGGAGCACGGGCTGGTCTGCGAGCCAACGTTCTTCAAGTTCCTCAACAAAAAGGACGTGTTTCTCCAGTGAGTTTTGCTCTTCCCCCCCTTCTCTCTCTCTTCCTTGATGGGCTGATACCAATACTCTTCTATTGCCCCCCAGTCTGTGGAGCTCAGAAAGGAATTCCTTGGCTCTCTCAATACTCCTGGCCAGGAGAATGGCATCAGCCCTGCGTTACAGGTGGACAAACTGAGGCACAAAGAATTTAAAGGGCGGAGTGACCACAGTGCCAGGCACAGGGCTAGCCAGAGTCAGTGAAAGCTGTAGGTGCTCAGTGTCTCTGAAAACCAGAGCTAAAGGCTGGGGAAGTCAGCATCCCACTCCGGGACAGATTTTCCTCAGGACCCCTACGTAAGTCAGTAAGTAAGTGGCCCGAGTTTCAAAGGCCTGTGGCACAGAGGTCCCTGGAGGGGTCTCAGTGTGAGTAGATGGTTGCCCTTTGAAGCAGGTGGCCCCAGTTGGGTGGGGCAGTTATTTGAAACAATTTGGCCCCCTGGGCCACACACCGATCCAGAGCAGGGCAGAAGTTGAACCCAAGTGTCCTGTCTCGCAAGCCCTGATTCTGCTCACTAGACAGTGCTCCCTCCTCTCGCCCTAGAAGGCCAACGTGTCCTGTTTGGTGTCTGGAGTTTTGCTGTGTTCTCCTTTTTGCATTTATGTGGGCAGTTGCTGGCCCCTTTGTAGGCCAGGCAGCCAGCTCAGGCTGCTAGAGACACGGGGAGAAGAAGCCTGTCGCCTCTGTGCCCAGTGCCTGAATGGCTTTCTGGTGCAAAATAAATGTTAGATTATTCAGGCACCTTTCTCTCCCCCCCCTCCCCTTTTATATCTTTCTCTATAAAAGTACATTTTGAGCTCACAGCAGTGAAGTTTTAATAGAGCATAAATCTGCCAGCCGATTCCGTGCTGCGCGGCGGACAATTAAAATGCAAGCATTACCATTTCTGTCACGCTGGTCAGGCAGGCAATTTGAGTCCTAGTGACATTTTTATATGATAAATTAGAGCTGGAGCTCACATTCCACTCGCTCCTCGCCTGCTCCCCCCCCAAAACCGTCGTTTCAGGGAAATGGCTGGTTCAGATTCACTAGTTCAGATCAGCATTTATTAGAGATGGAGAGTGTCTGGAAATACCCAGCAGCCTTGCACTGACCAGAGGAGATGCCAGCCTTCCAGCACCACCTGCAGGGGTGAGCATAAGTTGGAAGAAGCAGGAGGCTGGTTGAGGCGTCTCTTCAGTGCCTTTCTCCTGCTGTTGCCCTTCCAGAGGTGCTTGCTGATGCTGGCTTGTCCCTGTCCTGACAGCCAGTCCCTTCCAGCTGTGAAACCCACACAGATGTGAGACATGGGTCTGCATGTGCCCCAGAGCCCAAGTGAAATCAGTAGGGAGCCTGCATGTCCACCTGAGAACTGGAGGTGGCTGGTAACATGATTTTGGGGCCAGCCGTTTGGGTTTTGCCTGCAGTTCACATGGGTCACACAGATTTCACGCATGGGTCATGCTGAGCACATACGTTTCTCGATGGAGCTGCTCGAGCCATGCTGTCCTCATGTGCTGACAGGATAGGTAACTTATGTCACACATCGTGTACATGTGTTTACAGTGTAAACCGTACGTGAATCAAGCACATTGTTTTAATGAGCAAGGCTAACAAGTGCTGTGACTTTCTAAGCAGGAAGCTCTGTGAGAAGTTCTGTAAAGGATAGAATAGGGTTAAAATCCCAACCCCTTCACCTCACCACAAGAGTAGTTGCTCCCCCCACCGTCCCCCATCCAGTTAAACATGAATCCATCCCCTCGAGCAGGAGTGGGACGTAGTTGCCTGCAGTGAAGCTCAGCTGTGTGTGTCTGTTCACCAGGCTTAGCATCGCCTGCGACAGCACTGAGTACGAGATGAACCACCTGTACCCAGCTGTGGCCGAGACCGTCCGGGAGTGCTACCTCCAGAAGGAACCGCTGCTCTACAGCTGCGCGGGCTACAGCATCAAGTACCGACGCCTCTGCCCATGCCGCGATTACCAGAAAGGACAAGTGGCTCTGTGCAGGGACTGCTTGTGATCCTGCTCCCAAAGCCTGGCAGCGTGTTGCTGCACACCATGTGCAATGAGTAGCTTTTTCTCAAAGCTTCTGCAATACTTGAGAAGAGCAGGACAGGTCCCTCTTCTTGGAAACTCCTGTTGAGACTTGGATGTCAGCCTCTGTGGGTTGTGTGTCTGCCAGTCGACCGTGAATGACCATCGCCTGATGTTGGGTTTTAGTTTTATTTTCCCCTTGAGAAACATCTCCCACCACCAAACCCACCTGGACCTCAGAGGAGCTGGGAGGGACCCCTCAGCCCTATCAGAAAGACAAGGCACCAGCAGCCTCCAGTTTGGGGTTTCATCCTCTTTTAACATCCTTGATTTGTTTATTATTTTTTAAATCTGATGAGCAGTAAATTAAAACAGGAAAACCACAGTCACAGTCTTCCTGGGGAGTTATTTGAAACCTTCTCACTAAAGTTGCTTAAACACAGGGGGCACTCTTGGAAGGCCTAAGTGCCAAGACACAGCTGCAAAGGTGGCTGCACCTGGGGTCCTTTTAATGTTTATGAAGTGAAGGGCATGCAGGGATGGACTCTTACGCCTGGGGTCAAAGATGGACACTGTAAGGCAGGAAGCTGAGGCCCTCTGTGTGGTTCTCTAGCTCCTCAAACAATGTTAATTTGCCAGATGAAGGCCTGGGCTCAATCAGCCAGTGCTCAGCATCTCCCATCACTTGGTTGCACTCTGAGCCACTGTGAAGCTTGGTTTATACATGTAAGATGGGCTTTGGAGTAGGTTGACCTCTGGCAGGGTAGAGTGGGCACAGCTGGCTGGGAGTCACAGTCGGGGTGTGCCAGAGCCTGGCACTACCTTACTTTTGAGGGGGAAGTCTGGAACACAAGTCACCAAAGCCTGATGTGCCAGGATTGGTGCTCAGCACAGCAGCTGGCAATCACCTTTGTGTACCTATGCACAGTCCACAGTGAGCTGGGGTGGAGGAAGGGACAGGAAGGGAGTTGCACCATGCTGTCCCAGCACTGCGCTGGCAAGAGTTTGGAAATACAGAGCTCAGGTGAGGAGGATCTGAGATGGATCACAATGGGTATCGCTCCATAGGCTGAGGCCCATTATAAAGGGACTAACCCAGTGTGCACATCTACATGTGCAATTAATATGAACAAATAAACTCTGGCACAGTTTGCACTGGAGTTTATTGCTCCCTGGTGTGCCACTTGCACATGAACCCAGGACTGCAGCACATTGAGGTCCCGGTCAGGGGCAGCCCCGGCTGACAGGGGTTCGGCGGGGTCAGCCTGCCAGGCCAGGGCTGCTTCAACCAGGCTCAACGTGCTAGGCTGGCAGGGGCATGAGGGTGCCCCAGTGTGGGGCTAGCCAGCAGGCAGCCCCCACACTGAAGCACCCTAATGCCCCAGCCAGCCCCATCAGCTTCTACACATGTGTTGCGGTAGAGTAAATAACACCACTGCAGGACAGTCCGTGTGTTTACAAGTACTAACCTATGGTGGTGTTTGTTAGTTGCTGCAGCCTAATAGGGCTGCACATGTAGATGCTGAGACTTTACTGCAGGGCTAATTAGGCAACTGGAGTAAACGATTTGGATAGATGCACCCAGTGAGAGCACCACTGATTCTGTCATGCGGGTGCTGCTCCCAGGCTTATGAAGTTGCCAGAATAGCCCTGGATGCACTGAGCAGGAGCCCATTATGCCACCTTTCATGCCACGTGGAAGTCATTGTTGCTATCCAAACCCAATAAGGTCTTGCTGCTTGGGGAGGAAGCACAAAGTTTGCCCCTTCCACTGGGGACCACAACCTAGAGAGCTTGGAACTTATTCCAGGTGCCTCCAATTGGTACCCACTGTGTGCCTGCAAGGGATGAGATTTGGAGGGATGCCTCTGCCACTTCCATTGTGGAGTTGAGGTGGCTGTGCCAAGGCATGGTTGAGGATTGGATGTTTTGCTAGTGCCAGCATGGGATTTGGGGTTGCCCATCCTCTATAGGCACCTCCAGATGTGGTCATGACTCTTGTTGACGGTGTTAGAGGGACTGAGTTCAAATTCCAAAGAACCCCTGGTGATAACAGGATCCATCCCTCTGGGAGGCAGCATAGATCTGTGGGTCGAGCATTGGCTGGATACACACTCCCTGTGTGCCCTTGGGTAATTCACTTCATTTCTTTGGGCCCAAGTTCCCAATCTGCAGGTGGGAATAGCAGCACTGTTCATTCTTACCTGATGGGTCTGGAGGTCCTTGGATACTCTGGTGGAAGAAGCCACTAGGCTATTGCCCTGGAAGAAGGGGTACATCCAGCCTGTGGCCTGTACTTCAGCTATCCTTGCTGTATGAGGCTGTCACTGCAACTGTGCAGCAAAGGGTCCCACCTGGCCAAAACATCAGTTAAAGCCACATCAATGAGCTAGCAACAAGCTGCCACCACATGCCAAGTTTCTTAGATTACTGTGTGGGGGAAGGATCCATGCACATTCAAGGGTCACATGCCCCCCAAAGCCCCTTCTAACAATAGATCCAACCAGGACATTGAGAAGAAAATGGGTGTCCGAGTGGAAACCAACAGATGCACCCAACCCCAGCATGGGCTGGGCTCCTGCCCGCACCTTGGAATGCAATGGGAAAAGTCAGTAGGCTAAACCAGGGGGGAGAATAGCACTGCTGGATGCAGGATGGTGAGTCAAAGGGGGCAAAAGCATGGGGAGCCTGGAATCCTCCAACCCACCTCTGCATGACCTACGAGGCCTGGGCAGCGCAGATTCCAGTGCAACGGTGCTGCATTATAAACATGTGCACAGTCCTGCCTACAGACCTCCCCCTCCCCCCACCCCGGTCTCTGTGTGCACCTGGGCTAATAGATGGAGCACCTGCTTCCCTGCAGTGGCCAGTCCCTGAAAATGGATACGTTTCTATTTCTGCTGCCAGAACTGGTTCTTTAGCTCATGCAGGGGAGGTGCAAGCGTTAAGCATTGCTGGTCCAGGATTCAGCTCCAAGGAGGGTGCCACCTTTTCACTGTTGGGATACTTTAGTGGATAGCTGCTGCAGCCTTGGAGCTTGAAAAGCTGTCCCATGCATTGCTACAAATAGCTAAAAGAAGACAGCTGCTACATACAACACTGGACAATCGAACTGGGCTCCCAGTCCCTCTCCTTGGTCTGCCCCTTCCCACTATCTGCTTTCAACTGCACTGCCAGCCCTTCTGACAGCCTCAGAGCCCGATATGCCAGCCTCTTGCAATACTACCATCCAGATCAGCCTGGCCAGTCCTGCTGATCTCCCTCCTGTACAAGTAATAGCCTTCTACCACAGCTACCCAGGCATCCAATATGCAGCACCTGGCAAGCAGACCAAGCAGCACAAGAGCATGATTGAAGGTGCAGCTGTAGCATGAGGTAGCACATCTGTGCTGGGTTTACCTAACTAGCAAGGTAACACTAGCAGTGAGGATGCAACTCCACCGGCCAATAACCACTTATAGGGCCTGTGGGGAATTTTGCACTCTGATGGCTAGCACACAGCACATGCCATGCATCTACACTGCTGTTGTTCCCCACGTATACTAGACTAAGCCAACACAGACAAGCCACAGCATATATTACTTTCACACCTGCATTTCACCATCCATAGCCAGCTCCCTACTTGGAGAGAGAGGGATACTCTGAAACAGCACTGCGTTGTGGTGGCAGTGTACAGAATTACACACACTTAGCGTTGCCGTCTAGTTTGTACAGCACCAATTCTCTGTTTGCTTCTCTCTGCTTCTTCTACACCAGGACAAATCTATAGGCAAGAGAGGAATCGCACTCTCATCTCTCTACTGATACACTAAATTATACTCAGCCCAGATTCCCTGCCATGGCTCAGAGCATCGCTCTACTACTGCAGCATCAGTAAGGAAGAGGATGCCACCGTGTGGCTGGTTGGGCTGACCTAGGAGCCCTGTTGTTTGGCAGATCGGGTTTTATCACTAGAAATGTGAAGAGCAAAGGCCCCCACAAGATGCACAAACCAGCCCTCAAACTTGCCTGCCAGCCAGTGCTGTAACAATAAGAGACCTCATTGAACTAGAGAGCCAGATCCCAGCTGGTTGTAGCTTGAAGTCAAGGGAATTATATCAATTCACAGCAGCTGAGGAACTGGCCCCATATTTTATACTACTCAAAATGTTTCTGCAGCAGAGGATATTTTGCAGACCAGAGGGTCAAGAGCAATAGGGATGACTCTGGAGTTTTAACACTAATATTTATCTCCAGCAATAATTGGTGCTTTTGTGGCCTGTGGAACAAGGCTGTGGTGAGTAATATCTTTGCCTCCTTGCATTTGCTTTTTCATTCATCAGCATTTCTCAGCCCTGGGTTTCTAATAGAACCAGGGCCAACAGCCATTTGCAATTCCCCCAACTAATGTTCCTTAGAGATCATAACCCAATCCTCATTTATGCCAAGACCTTTCTACCTTACTGCAGAGTAAGTGTATTATTGCAGTTTGGATTCTAGCAGCGTGTAGGAGTCCTGGCCCCAGCCCTCGACTCCTTACTGCCTGCATCAGAACAAACCCAGAGCAAAAAAGTAGTCTGTGTCCCAGGGTATTTATAATCCAGAGTCATTTAATCCAAAGAAATACAGCTTACTGGCACTTTAAGGCACTTTGCTCTGTGGTGCTGCCTCAGGGCAAATAAGCAGTGTGAATAAGCCTTAGCTCAAGCCTTGTGAATTAGACAAAATAACGCACATCCCTACAAGTACAATGGTAGACTATAGCAAAACTGTAAGATTCCCACGTGTGAAGCCCAGATCATGTACAATGGGGAGCGTTTGGGCCTCGCCTTCCCGAGCAGGAAAAGGAGGGTACACGAGACACTTAATCGTGAGGATTTTTGTCTTAGCTCCTGAAGCCTCATCACACCCGACACAATTACCTACAGGAACTCTTTGCCTGCTTCAATCTTTCCGTGTGCTTGTATGTCCTCTCCATGTATGTGTCCCGTGGCAGGGCTGCTCACGTGCGCGGGGCTGAGTGCCAGGTGGTTCATTGCGGGGACCTGTGTTGGAGTGGGGACATGCGTGCCAGTCTGTTATTGGGGGGCTGCTCATCTGGGAAGCCAGCTACTTATCAGAAGGTCACCACTGACCTTCAGGGTTCTTGTACAAGAAACGTTTAGCCTCTCCTTTTATTGAAAGCCTCCATGATAGTTTAGAGATGGAGGCTTGTGGTCCGACCTGCCCGCTGAGACAGCAGCTGCATCAAGAGCAAGGGCAAACGTCCTGGTGAGGGGTGGGGATCTCTGCCCTTGGGACTATGCGGCTGGCAGTGCCGTCCGCTCCAAGCCGAGGAGCAGTGATGGTGGTGCCCCCTCATGCCTGGATGAGAGAGAGCCTTTAGTGGTCTAAACTTATTTTTTA